ATTGAATTCAGAATGCAACACAGTATACTATCTTGGAAGATGTGCAACACTTTAACAATGGCGTACAGAAAACTGTTCAAAAATAAGGCCATGTTATGTAGAATCATATCAAATAGTGTAATATATTATCCCAAGATTTACAACTTAAAGATTGTTTAGATGTTACAGAAAGAAAGTCTGATAATAGAATTATGCCATAGATTAAATGATCCAGGACCAGCCAGAACCACAACAATCCTTAGACTTAAGCAAGCACAAGTCAGATACTGGGAGCCTGTCAATATGCTTACATGTGACTCACTAAATAATATTCCAGGAAAGAATAACTTTTCTCTGCAAGTACTGAAGCTGACTAAGGAAATAGGCATAACCTTTCAAAGCTGGAAATAGAATGACATTTTCAAGTGGAACCAAGGAAATAGTTCAATTAAAGAATACCTGCTGATAGAAAAGTATAAGAAAGCAATTCTATCACTCAGAAACAATAAACTAATGTATATAGATCAACTTGTTGATCATGAAACAAGAGAACTACGAAACTGGCAAATGCTTTAACTGCTACAGAGAACAAACAACTCATAGAATCCTGAAAAGAAGAATGGATAAAATGGACTTCAAAACATCCCATTCTTGATATCAACTTTGACAAATGCCAAAAACCCTGGGTAGTTACAAGAAGCAAATCTCAACAACAACAGATAATTTGGAGAAAATTAATTCTAGATAATATTTCAAAACAGCTAAAGATAGAATACTTTGAATGTATCAGCCCTATTAAAAACTGAGAATCAAAGCTAACCCAATATCAAGGTTGCATAGAAGGTACAAAGATAGAAGACTAATGTATAATCAAAACAAGTATAGGAAAAATACATATGGTCCCCTATCTCAATGCAAGAAAGTCCACCAGAAGATTCCAATCACTGGAAATTCCAAGTTCAAGAGAAGCATTGGAAAGTATGATAGGTAAAACAATATACAGTAATCAAGTAACTATCCAAAACGAAAGAGTATTACAAGTGGAGATAGAGGATTGGAAAACAAATATCATCAAAGATCACATTGAAGAAGATGCCTACCAATCCCATCTGATCGAAATACTCAACCGCAACAAGCAAAGAAAAGAACCAATAACATTCTATTCCGATAAGTCCCTTGTTAATCACGGAAGTACAAATATGAGAATAAGAGTAGCATGGATACAGATAGGAGAAGTAGAAAGAGAAATCAAGTTCCAAACTGGAATAGAGGATTGGCCTTCATCTACTAGAACAGAACTAGTAGCAATAGTTACTATACTTCTAGTAGCCCCAGTAGATAGCAAGATCGAAATCTTTATAGACAGCCAAGCCTGCATCTCGAGATGGAAAACTATAGAAAAGGAGGATCCCAAAATGACCTACAAAAGATGGTTAAAAGAACAAAACTGGTCCCTGTGGGCACATATGCTGGATCTCGTAAAGAAAAAAAAGCTAGATCTCAAGCTTACCAAGGTCAAGGCACACTTCAATATCCAGTATAACGAAGAGGCAGATGCTTTAACCAAAGAAGCACTAAGATTCCCAGTGATAAAATGGAAAAAATTGGTCTTGCCCAAAATGATCACAGAAATTAAATGACAGAATATAGTGCTAGATACCCCAATAAGACAAACTATTAAAAAAATTAATAACAAAGTAATAGCTTACCAATGGACTACACAAGGTAGAATTGAAAGAAGATGGGACCAACAAATTCAAGACCATTACAGATACACGTAGGATCTTGTATGAAAACACTTTAATAAAGAACACATATGAAACACCTCATTTAAAAGCTCACGAAACAAAAACTTTCTTACTAAACTAATCAATGATGAGTTATCAACACTTACGAAGCTGGCCATAAGAAAACCAAATCTTTATAAATAAGTGAAATGCGTTACATGTGATCAGGAAGAGGAAATGACAGAACACTTGCTAGAATGCGCAACTTACAAGACTTAGTGGAATGAGGCATGGCAGAAAGGAATAGAAGAAGTCTTGAAAGGATTCAAAAAGCTCCTAAAAGAAAGGAAAATAGAATCAGAAGAGAAAGAGTTAAGCTTGAGAATAGACAATAGGATAGAAATGGGAGAAATTGACAAACAGATTGCAAAACTGATAGAAAGAAGCTCAAAAACCAGTCAAGACACACTTAGCTTCTTTATGGGACTAATAGAGGAAGAACTAGTTATCAATATAGCAGATTTGACATGTCATAGCAAGATAATCAGAAAAAAAGCTAGAAAATAGATAACAAAGATACAAGAAAAAGTACACAATCACTTTCGAAAGAAAATATGAAATGCAAGATGTGAAAAGGTGATTGAATGGAAACAGAAGTTAGGAATCTGTAAATATGACAAGAAAACAAGACTGTTACATCCACGTGATCAAGAAAAGATGGATAAAATCACTGAAAATCGATCCAGTGAGAAACTGATATATGAAAAAAAAAGAGTCGAAAACAAAAAGTTGGAAGAAATACTATTAAATGGAGTGAAGTATGGTATGAAGTGGTTAGGGTTTTGATCTCTGTCAGAGCTCAAAAGAGTGATCTGCAGTGTGACCTGTGGGCAATGATGTTAGAAGTTGGAAGGTCTTCACCTGAACTTTTAATGAAGCGATAAATCACTCCCGAAGTTGCACTTAGAGAGGTAATATAACCAAAACGAGTGAGTTAATTAGAGATTTAGCTTTAGCGTTTCATTTAATATGTACAGCTTACAAATGTTTAATAAAGCACACTTAATTAACCTGACAGAGGGTTAAAAAAAAAATTACAATTGAATATTTATAAAAATCTTGTTAATTTGAAATTTTATATCTAAATAGAATAAGTTAAAATTCTATATAAGTATTTTATAAGCATACTATAAAAAGAATATTTGATAAAACAAGATAAAAACAAAAAAGCTTGGATCCTAATAGAGACAAGAATCTGAGCATAATAGGAAAATAACTAGATTTTTTTCAATAACAAGTCATGAAAATCAGTTAAAAGATATTGGTAAATGGATTTATTGTAAAACTATAGTTATTGTTAGCTGCAGATGGGGTAGTTAAGGAAATTCAAAATAACTTTTGGTTTTAAGTAATTGCATATAAAAAAATGTAATAACACCATGAATCTCAATAAACTGGTCCTCTGTGATCCTGAAAAAAAATTTATGCCATTAATTTGACAAATTATTTAATTTTTGATAAATGTTACACAAGTGGAAATATGCCAAATAATATTTTTTGACTAGTGTAAATATCATAAATATTATAAATAATATTAACATATTTAAAAATATTTGAGTAATAAAAAATATTTTAAATAAAATAAAATATAAAACACATTTTGTACATGGATAAATATATCATAAATTTAAATGATGATTTGTAATAAATATTCAGAATTCAAATAACGATATTTCGAAATTTTAATATTCAAAGAAAATAATCGTAAATGAATGTATGCAGGCACAAACGGTTTTATTAATGATATAGATGATGATGACGTAATAAAGCCTAAAGGAATTGAATGGATATTCGAGGATCTTTATTAAATAAATGGTGTGATAAAATTATAATGAATTTTGACGGTAACATCTGCATTCAACATACTGTACATTTTTGCGTAAAAATTATATTAATAAAGCGATTTAAGACTTTATTTTATTATCCACATAACACGAATATGTGTATATACTATTAATTAATGTTGAGGGATTGAATGTAGATGGTTTTTACAGTATGTGTCGCCTTACCACAGAATTATCACTTCTGGTGTCGACTACATTGTGGGTCGGGGCGACATAGTCCTGACCCCAGGGTCGTTAGAAGCCGGAAATAGCTGCAATTTTAAAACTATTTTATTACCTAATTTGGAAAGACCCATCGAGTAGATTGGCTGTAGGTGAAAATCTCGTATTAATTCGTATAAGCGACAGGGACGAAATAAATGACTTGCCAAAGATGTCACCCGCAATATAACGCCCAGCGTGTGAAACAAAGAATTATTCGAGTGATGGACTTACGAGTTCTCAGATGCCATGAAAGAGTAGTGGCACATCTGCAAATCCAAATAACGTGAATAGGTAAATATTTGTATACAGTAAAAACTCCGAATTATGGAGGATCTGCATAGGCACGTAATTATTGACGATCTGGTTAGAACCTGAAACGATCAAACGTTCTAGCTCCACACCAGCATTCGACACTGCCAAAAGGTTGTCCGGAAAATTTTGCGCAAGGGTCTGTTGCTTACGAGAGATGAGGCTAAGAGAATGAAAAAAGAGGAATCCTGAAACTGAGATATCAAAAGAGAAATAATGGAAACAATTAAATTTGTTTCCTTTAATGCCAAGACTGGTTAATGGTGTAACAATTTAATATAATACATCATGAGAATACTATGGAATCACTTTTTTGTTTGCGCATACGTGTATACACGAGTTCATATGTCAGAAAACAGCAATAGTACGAACCAAACAATAGCGTAATTAATAGTAAATTGATCTCCGTTATTATAAAATTTGAGGACAAAAAAAAAAAAAAAAAACGGAACCAACAATGTTTATTAAGACTATTTTTTTTTTGTCCTTAAGGAATTAAGTATGTGCGCACAAAATTCACAGAATCACCGAATAAAATAATTTTTGTCGTTGTCTTATGTCCAACCAAAATCTCGATGATGATAATTGGTATTTCTCCTTTCTGTTTTGCATACAAATAATCTTGCACTTGTTTTTAACTTTTCAAAAAAAAGCAAGATATTCAAATTTTTATTTAGTAAAGACGACTTTCCGATTGATTAAGTTCAACATTAAATAGCCATTGAGTTAAGGATCCGTTCTTGTTTTCGTTGCCCCTTTTTTCGTCATAAACTTTAAAAAAAAAAAAAAAGAAATTATTTTCTCTTTGAAAAGAAAAAAAAAAATTTTTTTTTTTTTTCTTCAAAACATAGAAAACACAATTGCCAAGACTTTATAAATGACAAAAACCTCATATCCTTCATTCTCCTCCGTACTTTCGAATTATCATGGACATAATCGGATCACCAGTCGGGAAAGTGATTCCAACGCTCCTTCACAACCATTTGTAATTACTTCACAGGTAGATGAAAGAGAATCTTGTCGAAGCCAATTGTTTCTTTTTTCCACGATCCGAATAGAAATATCTGAATTTCGGTTTATTTTAAAAGTTTGAACTCCCAATAGCCACCCGATTTTCTTCTTCCATATTTGGTGCGTCCTCAACATATGAAGATTACCGCATCGAACATTTGGACATAGATGCGAATTGGTATCGAAAATATTTTATAGGAAAAGGTAAGCGGAAAAAATCAAGATAAAAAAGCATACGTAAAATGTGCTTTTCGATTTCTTTTCAAATTATTAACGATCTCCAAAAAATTTCCATTTTCTCTTTCTTTTTTTACGTGTACATAATCAAAAGAGCATCTGACGTTAGTAGGTTATGTGGAACCGTACGAACCTGTGGTCATCTCGATGGTACTAGACGATCGAACGACGGCCGACGCCAATTGCGAAGGCGTATATTGGTATCGATATATCATGCGTAAGAAGGAGGTAATCGATCATAAATTGATGGGTGCGCGCCATGAAAAATGAATAAAGTATTAAATTGCCGACGTATATTTGTGCTAATGCATAGTTACCCGATAATAGAGGTTTGATCATCGGCCCACCTATGTCCCCCGGAGGAGAGATGCCATCAGAAGGATTGCTAAAGATGATTTCAAGAGGTCTCAATCGTCAGAAGCTGAATAAGTTTGTATTAACTCCCGACTTGACAAACCAGCTACTAAGCCTGGACGAAACTAGAGTAATTCCATGTGTCAACGTTGATAATGAATTCGGAATTTTCTAGAGAGATTCGATGCTGATTAAGTCCATTATTCTTTTTCAGCTCCAAAAATGCTACAAGATTGGTGTATTATACTGCGCCCCCTGGCAACAAACGGAGGAAGAGTGGTTTTCCAATACAACCACATCAACAAGTTTCGATAAGTTCCTGACGATACTGGGCACTAAAGTTCGACTGCTGGGTTTCAAGGGGTTTGCAGGTGGGCTGGATACGCGTAACGGTGGGTCGGGTGATTATTCGATTTACGATAGAGGAACGTGGAAAGATTTCGAAATAATGTATCACGTGTGCACTCTCCTTCCGTATGAAAGGTTCGATAAACATCAGATCACAAGGAAAAGACATATAGGAAATGGTATGTCGAGGAAGGAACATTATATTAATCACTAACCAGTCAATCGTCGATATCACCTTTTTTTCAACTTATCATTTTATCATTCCGTCTAGACGTGACCTGCATCGTTTTTCAAGATGTTCGCAGACCATTTGACCCGTGCACGATACGTTCCCAATTTTTACATGTTTACGTGGTGGTCAGTCCCGTGCGAAAAGATGCATACCAGTGAGTAATAACGCTTCGCGGTGAGATGTCCAGGCGGAAAAGTTAATCGCACCTCAACTTTTCACTAGTGTAGACATAGTGTGCAAAGAAGGCGTTCCATATTTTGGTCCCGCGCTGCCGGAACCGCCAATCTTTGATGACCCATTGAAACTGAAGAGATTTCTGGTTGCTACAGGTAGACAGGATTTGAACATTACTGTTCGCCCGATGGCATTTCTCATGATCTTTTTTTGATAAATAGTCATAAATGGCCGTAACGCCGCGTGGAAGGCACCGAAACTGTCGGAACCATTCCTAAGAGCACGTGGTGCAATTATACAGGACATTGTTGACAAGTTGGTTCCTCCACAACTCGCATCTGCAACATCCCTGTCTTCGAAGAAAACTTCACAGGATTTCATATTAAAGAGGCTATTGAAGGAACATTTAAAAGTTGGCGTACCTCCACCCTTAGAACAACTCAAAACGCTTCTTGAGAGAGGTGCCAATCCTAACATTCGAATATCCCAGCCAAAACAGCCGTCGTCACCAGTGACACCAACATATATCATCTCTCGTCATTCATCACTGGACGACTCCAGACCATCGCAACACCCCATACATAAATTTCCTAATGTGCTGTTTGCTGTAATCACGCTGTGTGACGATCCTTTATACTGTAAATTATTGATCAATTATGGCGTTGATGTAGCGCCAAAGGACCCTCATTTTCCTAACGCGTTTACTTTTGCAGCAAGGTGATTATTACCGTCATCGTCACATCGCTTCATTTGATTTTTGTCGAATCCATTGTCCAAGAGTTAAACTGTTTTTTATAATCAGGCACAAGAGGGTCGAAATCATGAAATGTTTGCTAGAGAGTGTGCCAGGATTGGGTAATGCGGAAAGTGTCGGCCTCACAACCGTAGATAGTATTGACAGCAGTGGTGGTGGAACGAGGACGAGAGAGATAAAGAAGATGTGGAGTGGATTCACTGAGGAAGTTAAAAAATTAAAAAATCACATCATTCCTCCGAAGACAAGTAATTTGTGCAAATAACTTAATGATAAATAATAAATTTAAATCTTTTTAAGGACCCTTATTCATGTATAATTTCGAGTTTCACTGCTCCGACGTGTATGCAATGCACATGTATCATCACACAAGAAACGCGTATTTGCCCGTTCGAATATCTTAATCTTTATTTGGAATGGTAAATATTTGAACGACACACATAGGCCGCTTGATACTGCGGATATTATGAACAAAGCGCGAAAAAAAAAAAAAAAAAAAAAAAAAAAAAAAAAAAAAAAAAAAAAAAAAAAAAAAAAAAAAAAAAAAAAAAATTTAA